CTGGCCTTGGCCACTGCTGATTGACATTGCACATTGTTGCATAGTTTGTTGTCTATAACAATTCCCAAGTCCTTTTCGTGTGTTGTTGTCCCTAATTCGCTTCTATTAAGGGTATACGTTGCTTGTGTATTCTTTACACCGAAGTGCATAACTTTGCATTTTTCAACATTAAATTTCATCTGCCATTTGAGTGCCCAGTCCCCCAGTCTATCTAAATCCCTCTGCAGAAAAGTAATATCTTGCTCACATTGTATTATTTTACAGAGTTTTGTGTCACCTGCAAACACTGAAACATGACTTTCAATGCTGTCTTCAAGATCATTTATAAACATGTTAAATAGAAGGGGTCTCAGAACAGACCCCTGAAGGACACCACTTGCCAACTCTGTCCAGCTTGAAAATTTACCATTAATGACAACTCTTTGTACTCTATTTTTAAGCCAATGTTCTACCCAAAAACAAGCATTTTTTTTATCTAGACCAATTTCTTTGAGTTTGAACACTAATCTATTGTGTGGAACTGTATCAAATGCCTTGGCAAAATCCAAGTAGATCACATCCACTGCAACACCCTGATCTATACTTCTACTTACTTCTTCGTAGAACACAATCAAGTTCGTTTGACATGACTTCATAAAACCGTGCTGATTTTTGCTGATAACTATGTTCTTCTCAAGAAATTCTTGAATATTATCCCTTAAAGCGGCACTGTCATGCCAAATCCTGTTTGTTTGTTTTTAACTCCCCTCCAGCCTCCACTACATCTAACACCCTAGTCACCCCCAAATGCCCCTAAGCCCCCCACATTACCTATTTTTTATTCCTTATTTTCTGCCCCGATCTTTATTCAGGGCGCCGCCATATTTGTGTGGGTAGATGAAGTCCCCGTGGGACACGTCACCTGCCCACACTAGATAGACTGTGAGATTCCCGCACATGCCCAGTGAAACACCTGGACATGCGAACGGGAATTTCATCTATTCATTCAGACAGACAGACGAATGAGTGAATAGAAATATCAGACGAACAAACAAACACGGTGTATCACTGTTAGTTTGTTCGTGCAGTTTATTACAAGGAGGGAGCTACCGGCACGCAGCTCCCTCCTTGTAATATGTAACTATAGAAGCGGCAGGGTGCAGTGCTCCCCACCACTTCATAAGCCCCCCCCCCCAGGTCCCCACTCACTCTATGGGGGTCAATATGACCCCCATAATAGCACAAGGGAGATTAAAATCTCCTCAATGCCCCTACTCGCTATACCGCGGGTAGGGGCATGTCCACTAAACAGTGAGCAGCCTTTGGCTGCTCACTGTAAAAAAAAAAAAAAACTATTGAAATCCATCCAATCACAGGGCTCTGTGTCATTTTACACAGCGTGGGAAAATTCTTTTGAATTTTCCCACGCTGTGTAAAATGACAAAGAGCACTCTGAGTGTTCGTACCCTAATTGCAGGGCGGGGCAAGGTTTTATAAGCCTTCCCCCGCCCTGCAGAGCTCAGTTTGCGCGGAGCCCTCCATGGGTGAAGATGGATTATTTTTTTGCGCTCGGGTTTTTTCTTTTTCGTCAGGTTTTTTTTTTTTTGCGCTCGGGATTTTTATTTTATTTTCAATTCGACGGTTATGATGGTTTTTTATTTGGCCTTTTTTGGGGCTGAAAAATGAAGATTTGAGAAAAAAAAAATGTCGAATGGTATGTTTAATTTTATTTTACAGGTTAGTTATTTTATTCCCCCCTCACTATTTTTTAGGGTGAGGGGGGTAGGTAGGGACTTTTTATTTGGGTGGGGGGTGGGTGACTAGGGGCTTGGGGACCCCTAGTCACCTTGGTGGGGAGGGGGGAAATTGACTTAGGGCCCCCACCCGCCGCCCAGGGGTGGGGGTGGGGGAGGACAGTAGGTCCCCCACCTCATTATCTTTATGGCCCCCACCCGCCGCCCAGAGGTGGGGGCCGGGGGGGAGGGAGGACAGTAGGTGTCCCCCCCTTCATTATCTTTATGGCCCCCACCCGCCGCCCAGGGGTGGGGGCAGGAGGCGGGGTGGACAGTAGGTCCCCCCCCTGCTATCTTTATGGCCCCCACCCGCCGCACAGGGGTGGGGTATGGAGGGGGGGTGGACAGTAGGTCCCCCCCCCTCATTATCTTCATGGCCCCCAACCGCCGCCCAGGGGTGGGGGCCGGAGGGGGGGGTGGACAGTAGGTCCCCCCCATTATCTTTATGGCCCCCACCCGCCGCCCAGGGGTGGGGGCCGGAGGGGGGTGGACAGTAGGTCCCCCCTCATTATCTTTATGGCCCCCACCCGCCTACCAGTGGTGGGGGCCGGGGGGGGCAGTAGGCCCCCCCCATTATCATTATGACCCCCACCCACCGAGCAGGGGGAGGGGACATCGGGTCGCCCCCCTTATTTTACTTTAGGGCCCCCACCTGTCGTTTAGGGGTGGGGCCAATAGTTTTTTTTTTTTTTTTTTTACACTGAGCAGCCACAGGCTGCTCACTGTTTACCAGACATGCCCCTACTCGCGGTATAGCGAGTAGGGGCATATTATT